TCATTCACGACAAGGAGACGGCAATACGTTTTTTGGCAAAGCCACGGAGTGATACTTCAGCAACGTTTATGCGACAATGGCCGCCAAATGACACTTTCAACTGTTTTTTGACAGGTGGAGGTGTAATGCACGATAGTGTCAACAAGAAATCGGTCTTCGAAAGGGAAGTTGGCTGGAGCGGTCTAGGATGGAGTTTAGGACAGCAATTCTTTTCATTTATTGCTGGTTTGAAAATTTGGCAAAAATCAAATTCCGCTTAGAGGAATTACCTATTAGCCACACAACTGCTGTTGACTCGAAGAACTTTCCTCACGAAGTTTGTGCCTGGCGGCTTTTGCAGACTCCAACAATTATCGGCGGCCCAGGTCTACACGTCGGGATCGATGAAACGCTAATATCTGGCCGTAAAAACCACGCAGGGCGAGTCCTTCCCCAGTGGTGGATTTTCCTAGGGATCTTCCGGAAAACTGAAGAGGTGTTCATCTATGCAGTGCCAGATCGAGCTGCGGCCAGTTTGATGGACACAATCCAGTCCCGCATCGCTCCCGGCTCAAACATAATGTCCGATATGTGGGCATCATTCCAAGGAATTGAAACGATGATTGACATGAATTATACTCATGAATCATACTCGGTTAATCATACCGAAATCTTTGTGGATCCAACGACTGGAGCTCACACACAAACCATCGAATCTCTTTGGGACGTCTACAAGATGCAGAATAAACGCCAATGCGATACACACCGATCTTTAGTGGCCAGCTGTGTGTGTGAGTTCGTTTGGAGGCAAAGATACCGCCCCATTCCCCAGTGCCGGAGAACAGACTCACAGAGGGGAACACAACAGCTATATTCCGAACAACCGAGTGCGAGAGCGGGAGTGCGTGAGAGTTTGAAAATACTACGGCCTCAAGCTATTTATTGGATAGACACCGTCTGCCTCTGATCAACACTGACTTGCCCTGTCTGGGTTCGGTACAAGGCTGTGATGCGCTGCATACTGCGGGGGCGTTGTCTGACCTTGGTCGACGCTGACTCGCGCTGTCTGGGTCGGATACAGGGCTGTGACGCTCTGCATATTGAGAGGGCGTTATCTGAAGTTTATCCAATGCTGACGCACGCTGTCTGGTCAGCATCTAGCGGAGCTGAGGGTCTTAGTGGATTCCGGGCATTCATTGGTTGCTTTCAGGAATCTGGCGTTCTTGATAAAAAGCGTCCAAAAACAGCCTAGTTTGGTTGGTTGATCCGAAAACCCGGAGTCACTTCGTCAGTCTTTCGATGAAACATCTGGGTTTGTGTTACACGTTGAACAAATAATTCCTCGGTACTTCGTTCCTATATACTTTGCACCGGTATTTCTCTTTTCAAGCACACCGATCTTGTTCGTTAAGAAAATACTAGGTTTGTAAGGTCACCACTTTTTACTTCGAATCCCGTGACTTCGACTTCTGGTGTGCACTTAGCTTAGCCGCAGATGTTTAGTCAGTACATTTCACCATAACGTTCGTCACACCTTTTCTTATTCGTTACTGTCTGTTCTTCGTTTGTCCTATACTCACATTCATCACGAGTTCTCCGGTGTTTGCTCAGTCCGTCGCATCAACTTGTGTTGGACAAAGTTGCCCAAATACAGAATTTGGCAATGACAACGACCTCTTTGTCTCCACTGTTTTCCTTTTTATGCCTACTGTCTTGACTGCGAAGTTGTTTGCCTCACCAGCCGAGCAAAGGAACTCAACTACGTACACTGATGTCCGAATGGGGATAGGAAAGGTAGATGTTTAAGGCTATAGATCAACAACTGAAGATCACCTAGATGAAGTGTGGTGACAGCCCATCGGTCTGTCTGTGTGTATCCGACGGATCAGTTAGTTTATCCCATGTGCGTCAACCACAACCGGGATCAGACTCATGTGTGTGGCTTGCTATGTGCCTTAATGAGGAGGCTCATACATGCGCGAACCCAGCTTCATCGGATTTTGTGTGTACTGTGTGTGTGTGTGTGTGTGTGTGTGTGTGAAGAAATCCAGGTGAGATCAGGTCAAGGAATGATATTTCCGGGTATGGACACAATCAGCTGACCAAATATCCATTCTATAGAGTGACTGCAGTTCGGCAACAATATGAGATCGTCAGATTATGCCACAATCCTTTGTCGAAACGAGCGGTACAGCAACAGGGAAAGGAAAATCCGTCCCCGGAACATATCCATTGGCAATGATTGGGGTATGCGCAGCTCCAATAAATCACGTCATGTTATTTTGGCCACCGGCCACAACAACTGATGATGAGGTAATCGCTTCTGTATGAGTGAAACTCTTGACCCTTGACACAATCCTGTATCTAAGGTAGGCTGGCTCCATCGTAATACCGATACCTGAAGCGTTCAAAGGTCATGTTTCTAAAGACGCCATGTGATTATTCAATTAACTGACCACGTTGTGGCCCACTGTGCTCATCGAACGTCTGGAATTCGTTTTCTGTCAGTTCTTCTAACAGTAATTTGCTGCTCACTGATTTCACCATCCTTTAGAAATGCTGTTGGTCTTGGTAGCTGCTCTATGCACCGTTTCAGAAACTTGCAGTAGCTGAGTAGCAACACCGAGCCGTCCTGGGTAGCGACTGGAATCATGACAGGCTTAGCCACTATCAGTCGTGTGGTCGGTTTTATTCATAACACCAGCTGCTTAGTACAGAACAGACCAAAACAAAATCCGGTTGAGCCACTGGAATTCGACAGCGGTGTCTCTAAAACGCTGTAATTAGACGTCAAACAGAAAACACATTAGACAATTGGATTAAAATGTGTAGCTGCAACAGTGGAACCAGAGGTGCTGACAGCTACAGTGAATTCGATTAAAACTGAATTGCGGCTTTATAAAAAGAGTATTCCAGCCTACAGACATATTGACCTACTCATGAGCATGCTGAAAACTAGTCTGTGTGTGTGTGTGTGTGTGTGTGTGTGTGTGTGTGTGTGTGTGTGTGTGTGTGTGTGTGTGTGTGTGTGTGTGTGTGTGTGTGTGTGTGTGTGTGTGTGTGTGTGTGTGTGTGTGTGTGTGTGTGTGTGTGTGTGTGTGTGTGTGTGTGTGTGTGTGTGTGTGTGTGTGTGTGTGTGTGTGTGTGTGTGTGTGTGTGAAGAAATCCAGGTGAGATCAGGTCAAGGAATGATATTTCCGGGTATGGACAAAATCAGCTAACCAAATATCCATTCTGTAGAGTGACTGCAGTTCGGCAAAAATATGAGATCGTCAGATTATGCCACAATCCTTTGTCGAAACGAGCGGTACAGCAACAGGGAAAGGAAAATCCGTCCCCGGAACATATCCATTGGCAATGATTCGGGTATGCGCAGCTCCAATAAATCACGCCATGTTATTTTGGCCACCGGCCACAACAACTGATGATGAGGTAATCGCTTTTGTATGAGTGAAACTCTTGACCCTTGACACAATCTTGTATTTAATGAAGGGTGGCTCCATCGTAATACCGATACCTAAAGCGTTCAAAGGTCATATTTCTAAAGACGCCATGTGATTATTCAATTAACTGACCACGTTGTGGCCCACTGTGCTCATCGAACGTCTGGAATTCGTTTTCTGTCAGTTTTTCTAACAGTACTTTGCTGCTCACTGATTTCACCATCCTTTAGGAATGCTATTGGCCTTGGTAGCTGCTCTATGCACAGTTTCAGAAACTTGTAGTAGCTGAGTAGCAACACCGAGCCGTCCTGGGTAGCGACTGGAATCATGACAGGCTTAGCCACTATCAGTCGTGTGGTCGGTTTTATTCATAACACCAGCTGCTTAGTACAGAACAGACCAAAACAAAATCCGGTTGAGCCACTGGAATTCGACAGCGGTGTCTCTAAAACGCTGTAATTAGACGTCAAACAGAAAACACATTAGACAATTGGATTAAAATGTGTAGCTGCAACAGTGGAACCAGAGGTGCTGACAGCTACAGTGAATTCGATTAAAACTGAATTGCGGCTTTATAAAAAGAGTATTCCAGCCTACAGACGTATTGACCTACTCATGAGCATGCTGAAAACTAGTCAGCAGAATATGACCGGTTTTGCTCATCACGTAGACACGGTCCCTGAGTTTCCGTCAACCTTAAGTTCTTCTTGAACTCAAATTGCACAAAATTAGTGAAGTGCACTGATTTCCTTCCCATTTCGGTTTTGAAAAGCATCACAAACGATAAATTCAGTTGGATTCTAGGTGAGTCTCCCAGCAAAGTATTTCAGCCTGTTTGTAGTCTCCCTTATGTCATTTCTACTTTGTTTCTTCTAGTGCATTTAAGCTGTCCTGATTATGTCGACCCAGTCTCTTTTGAAGTTCACATCGTTTTCAGAGCCGCAGGATTCCATATGGTAGCTTTTTGAGCTTTTCGAAAAAACATGTACCCTTTCGAAACTGACCAAATCTGACCGAATTCAGCATAATGGGACGAGTCTCTACACTGGGCCTCCAAACTTACTTCAAAAAGAAGCGGTGTATGTTAACACTGTGATTTGCTAGGGGAGCTCCTGGGTCGTCGTGATCAGTAAAACAAAGCTGTGTAAAATTACCGAGATCTTGAATCGTAACATGCATTTAGCAACCAAAGATGGCTGCTAGGTTGAGTGAGGAACACAATGAGTGTCTAGTGGTGGTCTTACGACGACACTCATCTTGCGAATTGTATAACGTTAGTTTTTTGCGAAAAAAATACCAGGATATCATTCGCAAATTCAAATTTTTCATGAAAATCCCGGTTCATTCAATTCAGCCATTCATTCGGTCAAGTCCAGTTAGGTACCACTTTTCCTATCTTCCGAAGCTGATTATTTGAGTGTATTGGATATGACGATGGTCAGCTTGGATTGCTTTCGGCTCTCCTGACCTTGGTAGAGGCGAGCGGAAGTGATGAGCGCACACGTAAACATGCCGAAATTCGGGATGAAGACACTTGGTAAAGCAATCGCTTCAGATGATGGTGATGTTCCCCACGGGGTAAGAGTCAAACTCCATGTTTTTGCTCCGAATCAGGAGCAGAATAGTCAAGAGCGATAGGGAGTAAATCGAAGTAAGATTTGATCAGCTGAGATCGCATTCGATAACAACACAACCGATGGTTTAAGCAAACGTTTCACGTGCAAAACAGCACGTGACGATTTTTGCTGATACTAAGAATAAAATTACAGACAATGAATTGCTAAGAAGGAAGCGAAATGAGTCGGTTCAGGACCTATTTGAAATGTGAGGAACAGGATGCCATAACTGCCGATACTCAGATAGAGTAATGTTAGTAGTGTGAATATTCGGATTCGGGTGCTAGCTCCTGGCTAAATGAAAAGCCCACCCTAAATTGTATATATCGATGTGCAGCCACTTATTTTATCACCCCAAAAACAGATTTTTAGATACGGTGTTAATTACGCGGCTAATGAAAACTGTTTGAACCGCATCATCTTTTTCGTCTTTTGTGGCTCATCATCCAAGTAAAGTTTTTTCGTGTCGAAGTACTTGAAAACCAAAGCGGTCGCAATTGAATTTGGCTGGTAGCTTAAACACCAACTATTCTTGTTCATTTGATAAATAGGGACACTTTAGAATATTACTGTCGAAGTGCAATTATTGCAGAACGACCAACCGCCAACATGATCTCTAAACACACCATAGAAAGATTCCAAATTCACGGACGTGTATGGAAACTATAAATAGGTTCGTCAACTAGTCTCATTTGCACACGAATTTGGTTTTCGCAGCAGACTCAGCTACATCCAGCCCAGTCGCTCGGCTATGACGGTCGACTTCAGCTGACTGTGGTCAACCAGGCCGCCTCATCTTTCAACTGGTATGATACCCGTGATATCGCAATACATCTTCCCTAGACACAGCACACTACTCATACGGTTGCTGTCGAAGTGTTTTCAGCAACTTTGTGAGTAGTGTGTTATGTCTCCAAATGGGTTTATTTGGTTCTACGAGCCAGTGTATATTAGGTGCCAGTTTATGGTTTGAAAACGACTGAAATAAACAGTATGAGACGTGGTTACTGGCTCTTACAACCTCGAGACCACGATCACATGAAAGTATCGTTGAATGCCTGGCCCTACCAGGGACATTTAACAAGAACAAGCCTAGCGAATATACACTCATTTGCAAACTAATTTGGTTTTTCGAGAGACTCACATGGAACCCAGCTGAATCTCTCGTTTGTGATGTTCTCAGACAACTGAATGTGCTGCACCAGGCCGCCTAATGTTTCAGCCGCTACGATATTCGAGATATCGCGATACATGTGCATCTTTGTAATGTGCTACTCAGAAGGTTGCTGAAAATCCATTGACAGCTCAAGACCGGTTTCGCCCCTTTTGGAGGCTCATCAGGTAGGCGCAGTCCCCCGGTTTCCTTCATGAACAAGCCTCTACTCTGAACAAATAGCGACTTCTTACGGTAGACAGACATGGGTAATATTCCCCTGCGGGGAGCGGATGTTGCACAGGGAATGACAAACAGATATCTCGTAGAAATCGTAATAAACGAAACGTTCCTAATTTCTTTTGTTCCCAAAACTACCATCTTGGTAAGCAAAAGTTGATATTCATATCGCCAACCACATCCAAGGAAACCTCTGCTCTCAGTGGTGCTATTTTCCACCACACACAACCAAAGGCGAATACATAAAAACACCCCCCACAGTGTGCACTTCACAAGGAAGGTCACTTGGGAAAAAAGCACTGTTTGGGATGCACTCAAAGGTGCAAGTCTTTCAGGAAAAAGTCAAAGTACTAATAATAACCTGTGATAATTCGCGTTCCTATTGGTCAGAAAGCTAACCAACTTATTCAGCTTCGATAGGTTCTCATAGTTTCGGATTGCGCACGCAGCATTCCGATGTAAACCAGTATTTCAATTTTTATTTAGTCCTATAAAAAAGTATGCACACTTTCGTGTGTTAGTATACATAAGCACAACTGCAGTATGACCGGGTTCTGATCGCACATGGTTGCCAATGTCTCACGAGAATTGCAGCGCCCAGTTTAGTTTATCCATATATAGCAATTTGAAAAAACCCAAATCCCACTCACTTTACGTAAGTATAACACACACCCCTAACAAGAAAAAGCATGTTCACATCCTGAATTCGACCAATTCATTGCGTTACTTTACTGCCTACGCCATCCATTAGCATTGTAAATACCTAAAAACAAACAGCGTTGCGAACACGTCATTTTTGAAAAAACGGCCTCTGACAGATATTAAAGGTACAAGAAAAAGATATAAGTACATTTATACAAGCACGATAAAATGTCGGTCTGAAGCTGTCAAGACAAGAACCCTTATGTAGAACAAATAGAACATAAGGTTGACGGAAACTCGGGGAATGCGCGTACCTGATGAGCCCCAAGAAGGGCGCAATTGGTCGTGGGCTGTCGGAGAATTAACAGCAACTTAATGAGTAGTGCGTTACGTTTATACACGTGTCGCGACATCCCGAATATCGTAGCAACTGAAATATGAGGCGGCCTGGTGAAGCACATTCGGAGGCCTGGAAACATCATAAACGAGAGATTCAAATGGGTTCCAGGTGAGTCTCTCGCAAAACCAAATTTGTTTGCAAATGAGTGTATTTCGCTCAAAACTTGTCTGGATCAGTTGGCTCGACTTGATATGGGACAGGCGAGTGGTTGGCCTCGGAAGAACCAGTGTTCTCAACTGTACTCATGATGACAAGAGTCTGACCTTGCCTGATGCGATCACTTCAACGGCTGCGTTTTCAAACATACCTTTACAAAAATTTGTCAAAAGATGTTTGCCTGCCACGTCTGTCATATCGGCCTATCTGTTGAAACTCCCCTCCCCCCTTAAAAACGTTTGACCACGGATTGGTGACAGTGACCCGTTAATTACTGGTTTTCGTCCTTCAAAAGGACATCTCAGCCCTTTCGGTGGATTTTACCAAACCCCTCTGCACCGATTGTTTACCAAACCCCTCTGAAACGATGACTTCCCAATCGGTCCCAAGCATTTTCCAATTGATTGAAGACATCTCAGCCCATTTTTATAAACGGTATGGGAAGAATGAGTGAAACACGTGGACGACCCGCTTCTGACTTCGCTGTTTTTGAAGCACATTATATAGGTCTATTCAATGTTTCTATCAATCCCATCTTTATCCTGGACTTTAAATTCTATGCAAGCTGAGTAAATCGCTCATTCTCTAAGTGAGACTCCAGAAAATAAATAGGGTAAGCTATTCTTCAGCAAACTACTCAGTTAAGGTTTCAGTCAGACCAGGATACGAAATATGGAACTATTTCTTATCTGTAGGTTCTTTGGAAAGAGCGATTAAATCTCATACGACTTGTCTGTTCGACTCATCAGGTTGATGGATTCACGTGGTTTTCACGACAAATCCGTCTGAATTTCCAAATAGCTTATTCCTTCAAAGCGCGTAAAGCTTGGATTTCGAGTAGGAGGGATTAGTGACTGAAATTTTAGCAAAAGTTGGTAGAAAACAAAGTGGATGAGATTGGTCGTGAACTGTAGACGAGTTCTCGTGATTCATTTGCTCATCACTCGTTGTAACTAAAAATAATGTCATAAATGCCGGTTCAGCGCAACCTACCTACGGTACAGATTCAGTGGAGAGAAATGAAACACTACAGATTCTCTAAAGCCTGACGGCGCTCTTCCAGGGTATAAGTAGGCGAATCAATCCACGTTTGGAGGCGGAGTTAGCTTACATTGCTAAAAGCGAGGGGGTTAAATAGGCAAGGTCACGTGAACAGTCGGACAGTCGCAAACAAACTCGCTGAGAAAAGCCTCTTTTGAATGAGATAGGCCCTATTTTCATCGAAATTTCACTCAGATTATACTATGATTGCTCGGGGATGAAGTACTCTCTGGCACAATGAGGGGACCTGCACCAGACATTGGTCGCAATATCACCTTCTGGGCCTAAAAATTGAGTGATGTGGCGCTGATGGTACGAGTTATAAACACCTTGGTTAGTGGAACCCATTTCTCCAAGCATTTGACAGCCGGAAGTACCGCGCGCTTCCGAGTTCCTATCTGACCGAAACCTGTCGTCTGGAATACAAGGGAAGTAAGGAAATACAGTGCTCATCCCTACGGAAATAAGATAACGGAGAAATATTCGTCATCGTAACCCACCTAGGTGTGTGACACTCATTGTCACACTGATGTACAATGTTGAAGTACAACCACAAACCTAGGGAAGTAGAACATAAAAAGAGGCGATTTTCATCTCTTCAACCTCGAGACGACCAATTTCTGGACGCAGAATATATTTTAACTATGACATTTTTGACGCCATAAAACTGGGACGGAAAATACTCACTGATTTTTCCTCCTCATCCGTTGGGGTATGCAGGTGCAATCGTGCACCGAAAAAGGTTGTGCTGACACGACTAACCGTAACTGCAAAGATTTGAACATCTTACTTGAAATACTAAGTAGATTATATCAATTTTATGCATTCTCGGACACAGAACTTTGCGCTCATCCAAAAGCTTGCAACCACATGTGGCTAAATTTGCCAGTGGGCAGGCACTTGCAAACGGACACAGAACTTTGCGCTCATCCAAAAGCTTGCAACCACATGTGGCTAAATTTGAATACCAGTGGGCACTTGCAAACAATCAATACTCGATTAGGCAAGCTCTCAAGAGGATGCAACTCAGGGCATCATAATCTTTCGTGTACTATCTATCAACATTAGCAGACGATTCTTAACTAGACTTGATTTGAGTGAGCTGATAAGGTAGCGTTGGATACGCACAGCAGCAACTCATAGTCTAAATACCGACTGAAGGTGAACTTAGCCTCGATAAATCAATAACTCACCAAAATAATTGCGCCGGGACAGGAGGACGACTGTTCGAACGAGAGTGATGTGAGCGTGTATTCTACAAATCCCGGAACCACTCACAACAGATTAGTAACTGACTATTTTCAAGGTCTACAATGGTCTTTTCTGTTATATGACAATATATCTGTTGTCCATCCTATTAGATGGCCCTACCTCAAGCGACAGAATCCTCTGAATGGAGGGCTTCAACGTTAAGGATGCCTTCCATCCTCCCCTGAGGGTTGACTCTCTTTGGGAGGTGATTTGTAAAATCAGATTTCAGAGTACCACGTCGTGTAAAAAATGAGAACCGCCTCTCATCGAGCTAGTTTTCCTATGTGAACTCTAACTTCAAGATCACGTTCGACTTTTTTTTCGAATCCAACTGCTTGAGTTGGTAGGTGATATAAATGATCAATTCATGTGGTTTCTTGTACCGTCTTTAGTGTTTCCCTTCACATCCAACTCCAACACCTATAATTCTTCTCCAGTTCGTACAGTTACAGCACTCGAATATACAGTAAAATAAAACAACGAATCACTGAGTTATACTGTTTGTCAGTACGGCGTTATCAGCGGGATGACCTTGAGATGCAGGAGGGCAACAGTGGTAAAATGGTCGGAGTGCCTGGGCTTTGGGTTATGTATGTGTAAGAACCTGTGGATAGGTTCGACGATGGTGGTTGAATAATATGGTCAGAATGCCTTTGACGGCCCACGATAGAAACCGCAACAGCCGTGAGGTCATGCTGAGGCCGTTACTTAATCCTGTACCGCCTAATGACGTTGGTCCTGGCTGTATTTTACTTGTATAGGTTGTTTCCAGCAATCTGTTAGACCACGTCGAGTTACGCGCGAAACCCCAAAAGTCAAATCGTTCAAATGGATGGTTATCTACAAATGCGGCACTATAAATACAATAATAAATTAGTAAAACTATACAAACCTCAAATTGTGGTACTACGCCGGCTTCTATACACCGGTTTGGGAACTGCTAATTCCTAACGGATCCCAAAGTCAAAGCCAAGTGTTTACAAGATAACGAGGTCACGTGTTGACTTAAACAACAGGCCCGACGACAAGGTCAAAGAACAGTTGATGTTCAGGTCAAAAACGAGAAAGGTGTTACACGGGTGCAAAATCAAAATAACAAAAAGGGGGAATCGCGTTGTACAACAAAAAAAATAGAGGAAAGCAATCAACGACTTGGCATGTACCCGTATATTTGTGTTTTTATTCCAAGAGCTATTTTACGAGGAGTGTGTGGCAAAGAAATAAGAATAATAGCACTACATTGAGTATAAAATAATAAAGAGGTCAGATGGAACAGACTCTGTTCTCCTTGAAATAGTTCGTCGTTGGCCCAGGTCAGCGAATAAACAATAATCCGATCATGGTTATCCAGTTCCCACAGATAATAGATTCCGAAGTTTTAAATCAATTGGAAAATGTGTGGTACCGATTGGGTAGTTATCGTTTAGAGAGGTTCGGTAAACAATCGGTGGATTATGAAGTTAGTCTGAAATATTGTGATACCAGAGTTAGCATATGAGATTAGCGAATGACCGCTGTAAGCGCAGGCGAAATCAGAAGGGAGAGTCAGAGCACGTGACCACGTTTGTATTGCGTGAAATCGTACAAGTGCGTGCGTGCTTGTTTAGTTTCTCCTATTCAGACAGAAAAACGGTTATGCATTTCTCTGTGGACGGAGCGCTAACAAGAGTTGGAAAATAAGTCACACGATTCATCCAAGGACTGAGGTATTTACAGACGTGGCGGAGTTGCAAATAAATCTGTCGATATGTATTATGGTGATTAACAGTAAATGCTAGATAAGTAAAATAGAAAGTGCTATTTTGAAGCTAACTGGTTACAAACGTTTGCTGGAGTTTGTTCACATCAAGGGGCGTCAGGATTACAAATTTTCTAAAGAGAATTATATGGAAAATTGATCTGATATCCAATTAATTTGTGATGTCAGCTTAGGTGAACTATGAGAAAATCAGAGAAATTTATTTCTTTAAAGTTGGCTGATACTAGGATAAGTTATAAGATTCATAAGTGGCACATATGTTTTATCTGAACAGTCAATAATCAACGGAGCATTGGGATAGTACAAACCGCAATCTTAGTGGAACACGATAACATTTGTGCGTTACCAAATCAATGCATCTATGTGAGCTGTCATTTTGTGTTATTAGTGTAGTAGTCTGGTTACCCAAGAGCTATTTTACGAGGAGTGTGTGGCAAAGAAATAAGAATAATAGCGCTAGATTGAGTATAAAATAATAAAGAGGTCAGATGGAACAGACTCTGTTCTCCTTGAAATAGTTCGTCGTTGGCCCAGGTCAGCGAATAAACAATAATCCGATCATGGTTATCCAGTTCCCACAGATAATAGATTCCGAAGTTTTAAATCAATTGGAATATGTGTGGTACCGATTGGGTAGTTATCGTTTAGAGAGGTTCGGTAAACAATCGGTGGATTATGAAGTTAGTCTGAAATAGTGTGATACCAGAGTTAGCATATGAGATTAGCGAATGACCGCTGTAAGCGCAGGCGAAATCAGAAGGGAGAGTCAGAGCACGTGACCACGTTTGTATTGCGTGAAATCGTACAAGTGCGTGCGTGCTTGTTTAGTTTCTCCCATTCAGACAGAAAAACGGTTATGCATTTGGCAATATACGTAATGTTATAATGGAAGCTAAAGAAAGATACAAAACACCGCACTTGGAAACAATTTATCGCAACCATGTTCTTGTCAAGCCACGTATTTTCTATCAACAAATGAGGATTTTTAGTAGCACCAAAATTCAGTCTAGTACAAGCGACTTGACAGTTCGTAACTCTTATCAACTGCCGGCCACTAATCGCAGTATCTTGCATGGCCAATCAGGAATCACATCAAAGATGACTGCCAGTCGAGGAGCAGATTCCATCTTGTTTTCCGGTAGATTTAAAACCACAGTGCCGATAATCCGTAACACAACCATTGTCCGCCTATGCAGGAACTGTGTCTTCGTGGAATTTGGCCGCACCATGACTTAAAGGGGTGGCACCTGAAACTTACATCGAGTTGGAGGCCCGCCTGCTTGCTTCCCACCTCCGGACATTTAAATCACAGGTAAAGTCCCTGGATAGCAAGATTGAGCTGTTGTGTTGTGTTCGCAACAGAATAGTGTGTAAGCCGGCCGTGGATAACAAATCCGGACCAGGAGAGCATCCAGTGAGGATTTTCGGAGTCGTGTACTATGCAACTGCGCCCTCCAAATAACACATTTGGACACTGCGGGTTGACAAATGTTTTTGCGATTACTCCTTATCCTTATCTCCTATTTTCAACCCACTATTAAGAGGTTCTTTCCCCATTAGTGTGTGAGAATATAACCTAAGTAGTTGCAAGTGCCATATTTCTGTATCCCCCAATGGCTTAAAAGACATCGTCGAACAAAACCAGCGGGCGCTGCGTAAATGTTCTACGATAATCAGGCATATAATGATGACATCTGAGTAGACCGGCCAGAGGATTCACATTGGAACGGGAGCCTCCTAGCCAGATCTCACTCTGTACAATGTAAGGCTAGGCATATCTCTCATCAGTTGGGAAAAAGCTGAACTCGTTGAACTCCGGTCTTTTACAACTTTTGAAGTCGTGTGTCCCTCAGAACTGTCCCTAACGCCAAAAACATGAGGTTTTTGTCACATTCTCCAACAGCTTATGCGGCTTGTGGCCACTCATTGCAGAGTAAGGTCATCAGCAGATAACAAAGCAGTTGTCCGTTGGAGGGACATTCAAGATGACCTCTCCAGAAGTGGGATTTTCTATTAAAATCTTGTGGGAAGTGCTAACATTCGAGTCAACAGGATTTTGCCCGACGAATTACTCGCCTTCATCTTGTGCTTCATCATTCATCACAAACGGCCCGTGTGTCTTTGACTGTTAGTATATGTACTGTTGCGGGCTACACCATGCGCTGACTGGAACACGCGCTGTCTACCGAAATACACAGTGACGTGGAGGATGGTTGTCAGGTCACATAGGGATTTGAACCGAAACCATTTAACCTCTTGGCCTAAAGTCTAAATCGTTTATGTCACAGCAGGGTGTACTTACCAAGGTCAGCCTTGACCGATGGTTGATCATTTGGATAAGGATTCCCATTGGCCTGTTGGTTGACTTGTCTTCTGATTGGTGGCTGTCTGGGTGACCTTGAAACT